AAACGTTTTATTTTTGTATTTTTCATTCAACAAATCAGATTCTTAGCTTACCACCACCTTAAAAACAATTATCTCCTCCCACAGCTGCTTGTTCACTATAAAGAGTTACATAAAGAGTTACATTAGAAACATTATAGGGAGGTCCCATTTTCTATACATGTTTATTTTTGGCAAACAGTAAAGGGATTTGCACTGAGTATATGTTAAAATGGACAGTGGTTCCCACAACACTAAAAAAACTCATATAGCGTTTCTTTAAGAAAGTATTCTGATGGCTATAATATCTTAACAATGATCAACAATGTTTATATCTCTAATAAAATCTATAAGCAACTGATTGTCTCAAAGAACTGTTTCAACTATCTTATCTGAAGATAAATTCAAATCTGATCAGTGTTTTCCTTAAATACTATCAGCAAAAGTATTGGATATTTTCCATATCTATTTTATTCACAATTATAGCTTTAGCAGTTATAATACTCCTTTACTATAAAACTTTTTTATATATTAAATCATTGTCATGTATCAAAAGTGTGACAAATGTTTAATCTATACTTTAAATAATCAATATTAATATGAGGGTACTCTTTTAATCCTCATATTACAGAGAAGGACATTGTGGCTTAGAAAATATAATAATGTCATTTTGCAATCCATAATACTTGGTAGGAAGTCAGTCTGGAACTTCAGTCTAGTTACTGTCTACCTCAAAATTCTGTTTTTTTAATCACTGAACCATACTAAATCCTCTAAAGCCAGGATTATACTTCTTTCCTTTATTAAAATTATTATCAGCTGCTCACTTTCCACTGAATCTCACAAATAGAAACATAGGAATAGTACTCCATAGCTCCCTGCCTGTTTCTTACATAAAAACAAAGCACGCGGTTTGCAGATTTTGTCTCCTAAGTAATCGGTCAAATATATCTTTTTTCCCCCTGTTCATTCTGTCATTTCTTTATCCCAGCCTTTATTATCTATTGCCTGCACTGTTACAATACCCTCTCAGTTGACCTCCCTGTCTTATATCTCACTTTCCATTTTCCGTCTCTATGTACACACACTTATCCCCATACACTACTGGCAGTGTACTCCTAAATTGCATGTCTGATCACGTCAACCATTTGCATAAATAATTTTAAGGACATTCATCACCTTCATCTCAGTAGCACTGTCCATGCTACTGAGCACAGCAACAGAACCTATACACCTGGCTGTTGCTCATCGCTTTGGCTTCCTGCCTCCTCTCCCAAATTTATTTGAGAAATATTTACCAAGTAGAATTGACCAGGGCAAGTGATCAAATGGATATGAGATCTGATAAGTAGAAAAGGAAAAGAAAACATACACAATAGAGTAATAGAGTAAATGTTGAGCATTTGAGGGATAACAACACGGAGGTAAACATTGGAGTGGAGTTCAGATCTTTTTCTCCAGCTTCCTACTTAACTGAACATATTCTTTTGTCAAAAACAACACAAACTCACTACAACCAAAATCAAGCACATTATCTCTGTGTCTGATTTCTGATCTTGGAGTGCACTACGTCTCAGATTGGCAGTATCATCTATCTATCTCCAAAACCACTCTTTCTTTCTATCCCTTCTTTAACTATATCCTATCACAGCATCCTGTCAACTTTATCTTCTAAATAGCTCTCAAATCATTCTCTTCTTTTCATCTGAATTTGTAATGCATCTGCTGGCATCTGCTTTATCCTTTCTGTAATTTATTCCCTATAGTAAAGGCACACTGATGCTTTCTATCTGAAAATCTGATTATATCGTCCTCTACCCATTTACATACAATTAGAGCTTTTTGTGTTTTTCCTCCATAGCATCTGTCACATTGCAAATTTGTTCTTATTTCTATGCAAATAGATATTTGATTATTCATTTTCTGCCCCAAACAACTATAAGCTCCATAAGCACTTGCCACTCACTGTATTCCAAGCAGTAAGTATGATGCCTGGTATAGAGCCATTTATCACAATGTGTCTAATGACTAATTGAAAAAAGTAATTAATAGATGGATAAAAAAGATCTAGGTTTCTATTTTTTGTAACAAGAAACATAGTCAGTGATCTCATGGGTTTTGATAATTCACTAAGGGAAAATGTGCATAGTAGTAGAGATGCAGGTCCTCTGGAGGTATAAGATGAGAAGCCCAAGAAAGAGATTCAGTTAAAAAGCCAGAAGAAAGGTAGAATAACTATAAGATAACTATGTCATAGACACCAAGGTAGAAAATAAAACAGACTGATCTGCTATGTAAATATCTCAGAGTAGTCTGGAAAGAAATTGGAGATTATTGTCTCAAAATAATCCATTTTACCCCTTTAATTTCTAACTAGATTTTTCTTCAATTATCACATCTTGACCTCTAAGGTTTTCCTTAGTCTTTATCGTATACATGAAATGCTCTCAAGATGTACATCTTCATTAAAGCATCCTCTATATTTCTACCATTCCTATTGCAAGTATAGCTATATTACTACATTTGTATCCTATTTCTGCATATTAAATTATGTCCTAGTCTCAGCCTCACTTAAATATTTAATTTCTATAACTTTTCCATTGATATTTCTGGGAAAATGCATTTGTAATATCATGTATATTCATTCAATGAGTTCAAGTCTCTGCATTTTTTACATCTTTGTTTGCATTACTGTTATGTGCGTCTAATGTGAGTTGCTGGCTATTCTGAACCAGACCAGTATAATGTGCTGGGGCAAGCACTTGTCATAAGCACACACTTTATAAATGCTTCACTGTGGTGGTAGTGTTAACTTCACAGCGTGAGCAGTCAGAAAACTACATTATTTGCTCAGGAAATAATAAATCTGCATACAAATGAGAATGAAATAATAAAATTATTCATTTTAGCCTTTTAAGAATTTTTAAACCTGAGATACATGAGGCATGAGGTAGAAACATTTTCATACATGAATGGCTCACATTTAAAATAAAGCTAAATAGCTATATCACTAGGGAAAAAACATTCATTGTGCCTGTCATTTGAAGAACTGTATGACAATCAAAAATATTTAAAAGTGTTTTTGTACATAAATTGCAAATAAATTTGAATGTTTTGTATAATTAAGTGCTGGAAGATCATACTAACTTAAATATTAATATTATATTTCCTATAGTGTCCATCCAGAGCTGAATTTAATTATTCTACTTTTATTTTGTTTTACTTTCTATCTTCACTCTCTAAAATATGAACTCGCTAAGATCATGAATGCCACAGCACCCCCAGGCTCCCAATGCCTAGAGCCATTCCAAGCTTGTACAAGTGCACAAGAAATATGTTTTGAGTGACTGGAAAATGAATGAACGTAGAGCAGGAAAATATATATGTATATCATGTAAAAGCCTGTTTTAATTTAAGATATAATAGTGGCTTGAATCAAGGTAAATAATATTTAGGAGGAATAAAGTAAATTTATTTGACTTATGCTTAAGAGGAGATGGTAGTTCATTCAACATGGGTGAGAGAAAGTAGAGCCTGTAAGTGATAGGCTTTTAATTTGAGTAAATGGGTGGTTAGTGCCCTAATTTGTCATCAAAGGAGATACAAACGGAAGAACAAGACAAAGAAGATGTGATTGAAAAGAAGCCTATTCTGATTCAAATCACAGACTCTGGGTCTTTAAAGCTGTCTGTGCTTGCTTGTCCTACTATGTAATAATCATGGACCATTTTTTTCAATTCTATGGAATTCGATTTCCACCTTTACTGTGGGTAGAATTTGTTCTTTACAAATTAAAAAAACAAACAAACAAACAAAAAACTCTATAGCCAAACACAATGGATGCTTTTCCAGTTCTTATCTTGTTTGACCACTGATAATCATTTGCTCCTTCTTGGACATCCTTAACCCATGTTCCTTTGAAAACTTTTTCTCCTGCCTTTCCTCAAACCTCTCTAGCTGCTCTACTAACAGTCAAATAAATTCCAGACTTTTCTGTTGTGATTAATAAGGTTGTCCAAAATCTAGTCTATGCCCATATTTCCATCCCGACCCTTTTAAAATTTCTGTCAGACTACTTCCTACATGAAATTTTTCCTTATTTTAAATCAGGGTTAGTTCTATTCTATTAACTAAACATGGCATGATGTTTTTAATCTCTCTGAAGTACACTGAGGGTTTTGTTTTCATGTGATATTTTCAGTGGACCTGATAGTGAGTAAAACTCCAACCTTTTTATTAAGAAAACATTGGTAGATCTCCTTATATACATATTTTTCTGTTCTTCTAAATTTTTCATCACATTACTTCTGAATAATTTTCTGTAAATCAGTCATCTACTACAGTTTTAGCATGAATATTTGCCTTTTCTATTAAATTTCATTTGGAACATGTTAAGACTTACAAAGACTGTTATCACAAATATCATATTAACAAAGTGTGAAAGTAAATCTTTATTCCCAATAATATTCACATACTCTATGTATTTGATATTAATATAGCACACATTTTAATAAACTACAAGTATATTCTCCTTGAATCTTCAAAATAATAATAATAACACATGTTCTTCTATTACATGATTGCTATCACATCTTCCAAGGTAGGACTAAAAGGCAGACTATGCTACTATATTCTAGGAGTAACATAAAATCAGGGGACAAAACTCAGGGTCAGTGGGTGATGCCACTTAAGAGAGTGTAAGAAGAGGTTGGGATTAAGAAAAGCAGAAGGCTTTACCTAGAGGTGGCATAGAGTTAGAGGACCATTCTGCCATGCATAGGCATTTTTCTCTGCAAAAAAATTTTTTAAATTTTTTTTTTTTTTTTTTACCATTTGGCTACTTCTAGAGATGTAAATGAGAATTTTTAACATTCTAGATATATTCCTATAATAAATAATTAATAAAGAGGAACCATATTTTATATCCCATAAATTACTTTAAGAAAGATATTCAATATTAGATTTTTAATATTAATTGTGCCTTTAGTGTATACATTTTAAGCTGTTGGGTGAAATGTACTTACACTCAGTTTTCCGTTGCGATTGTCTTCTTCTCTCATTGCCAGGGCCATCAGAAAGTTATCTTGTAAGTCTTTACCAGCACTTGTTAGAGTCCTGTAAAAAGCAGATCTTCAGTTATAATGTATTAGATTACAAATACATTTCAAACACTCAGGGGCCAATAATAATGATTTTTTATTCCAGTGACAATTTCCTTGCAACATGAAAACCATATAAACACAATCATTATTATCTACTAGAGTCCTCAATTTAATTTCATATAGTAATAGAGTGTTTATAAATAGTTGGAATCAAGTCTTTAAATAATATATCCATATCAAGACTCATGCCATATATAATTTCATTTACATGCCCATTTTGTTCTTTTTTAACATACCAAGAAAAGTCACCATGTTAGTACCACTCCTTCCCACAAAATTTTTTAACTGCCTATAATTTAAGTATAGTTTATTAATTTAAGGAAATTAAAATACTAGACACCTATGCTAATACAGTTACTGGAGTAGAGCATTAATTTTAGCCCTATGAGTAGAGATAATCAAGGCAAAAAAGGAAACTAGGTTGACTTATCTTTGTCAGATGAAAGAAAGCATCAAGAATTCAAGAGAGAAATAACGTTCTCTGGAAATATATTTTAAAAGAAATATATCACAAAGATCTCAATCAAGCACAACTGAACCACATAATAGTAAGTTTGAGTGATTTGTAAAAGAATAACCCTTTCTTTATACAGCAATTTCCTACATATTCCACAGACTTTTTCATCATGTGTCTGCTATGTACCAGGAACCGTATCTGGGCACAAGGATGCACAAGGCATAGTTCCTGCTCTCAAGTTGTGTATCGTCTCATAGAGGTAAACAGATATTTAAACATAATGTCATACCATGTGATAACTGGAATAATAGAGATATAGACAGAGTAACAAAGGGGTTAATAAGAGAAGGTATCGTATTCAAGGCAAAGTCACTTAATCTGAAATGTAAAAGCAATTATTCTTGAATTTAATGTTAAAACTTGAGATAGTATTAGATAGTTTGAGGGGTGGAAGGAGAGAGTTATCAGTAACTACAAAGGAAAGAAGGAATACAGATTTAAAGTTGCAAGGCAATCGGGTAACAGCAAAGCAGTCAGAGAGTAAACACAGGAAGTGAGGGGGAAACCAGATATTATTATTAGAAGTTGGGATTTTAATCAACATACTGTTATAAATATTTGCTAAGTTCAGATAGCAGAGTCTGGTTTTAGAATTCATTTTTACAATCCCTTTCAGGGCAGACTTGTATGCTACTTAAAGAGCTTGAACCTTGTCATACTACCAGAATGCATTAAACCAAAAGGGTCTAATGCAAGCAAATCAAATACAGTAGTCAAATCTGTGTTCCGGAAAGAGTGTTCAGAGCTATGAGAAAGGCAGCCTGAAGGAGAGCAACACTGCAGGGATTAATTAAGAGACTATCACAAACCTTTAGAAAGAGATGATGAATATCTGATTTAAAGAAGTGATGGTAAGGATAGAAAGGAAAGGATAGTTTAGGAAATATTTAAGAGATAAAATGGACCTACTGATTGCTTTTTGTGAAGAGTTAAGGAGAGATTACTACTAGGTTAAATCATTGCAACCTTTGTTTATGTTCCTGATCTAGAAATGCAGCTCTTTAAATTCATCATAATTTGTGTGCTTTTGCTTTCTAGCTTTATGTTCCTCAGCTTGTTTTATATACATACGTATATATATATATATATATATAAAATATGTTTTATATGTATATTTATATAATATAATATCTGTATTATATTATATATAATATATTATACACATTATATATAACATATATATCACTTAATAATCGAAAAACCTTAATAAACCTGTAAAATAATTACTAATTAGTACCAAAGAAGAGGTCAGATATTTGAGAATTTCTTTAATCCATTGTTCTGTCCACAGGTGAGTGTTCCATGTTAAAATATGTATTATGTACTGCTTTAATATTAAATTTAATATTAAATGTCTAAAACAGAAAATAATTTTGTCATTTGCTTGTTTAGAAAAAAACTATCTGTTTTCTACTGCTCACAGCATAAGCTTCTAATCATTTGTTCAGTTTCCACCTAATTTCCTGCTTATGGTCTGTTTTAAAACCACATTCTGTTGGAAATTCTCTGTGAAATTTGAATAGAGAATTCATTTTACAAGTACATCAATCAACAGTGGTCAGGTTATACTACAGTAACCAATGGTCCAAATCTCAGTGGTTTGCAGTTGCAAGAGATTACCTTTCAATAAAAATATGCATCAATAGCAGGTTTACTGTGGCTCTTCATCTTGAGGGACTGAGACACTGATGAAACATCCTCTATCGGAACCATCTTCAGTTATTGTGCAGAGAGGGAAAAGAGAACATAGCCACACAATGTCTCTTAAAACTTCTGCTTAAAAGTAACACATATCACTTCTAGTCATATTTCGTTGGCCAAAGTGCTTTGGCCAACACTGAACTCAATGGGGTGAGAAAATACAATCCTGTCCAGGTATTTGTAGCAAATATTTGTGAATAGTAGCTCAGACACTCATGGCTTCCTATACCATAAAAAACAAAGGTTGAGACTAGATTGCTCAGTATATAAGAGCAGTAAATAATACAATTTTTGAACAAATTATGATAGTACAGAAAATTTGTTAACTTGGTTCATTGTAATGTAACCAAGTAAAGGCTCTTTTGAGAATTAAAATTACTAATCCCAGCTCCAAAACCAAACTTCCCCTAAATACCCACAGAGCATCCTATAAATTACAGTTGAAGGAAGAAACTATTAATAGAATTAGTGTTCTGTGATAGTTGTAGACGTCTATTGCTTTTGCCTCCTAATATCCTTTCTCCCTTTTTATTGGCAGCACGGCCCTAACTTTTACTTGGGCAACTGTCTTTTCCACACTCTTTGCCTTAGTAGAATCAAAGTACCCACTTACAACACTTACCTACCAAACCTCGGCTAGTGAATACACCTCAAGCTTTGCCAATGTCATTTCACCTCATGGGTAAATCTTTAACAGAGACAAAAGAATGAAGGGCAACTGGAGTTACAGTGGTACCCTTACTTCCTACTACATAGTTTATTCAATTTTATCTTTGAATCTACGATAATCAGTGCTCTTCCAATAAATTCCCTTTTTGATTTCATTCATTAGACTTGGTTTCTATTGCTTACAATAAAAACCTATAATTGATACAATGGCTATACAGTTAGGATACACCAGAATTCCTATGAGTTTCCACAAACTATATCTACTTCCTTCTCCTGCTACCTTCCCCACCATACCTTGTTTTGTTGTAAATTTTTAGAACTTCACAGATAAAGTTCAATTTGATCATCAACCCTCATTACATAACACAAAAGGTAACAATCATTAGAAGCTTTGCCTGTAGCCTTTAAGGCTTTTTAAAATTATATATAGATACATATTGGTGTCCTAATAAAAACATATATAGTATTATGTGGTCAATTGTTCATTTCATTACATATTTTGCAACTTACTGTTTTATTGCTGTTGTTACAACTATTGCTGGAAGCTGATGTTTATGAAAGTTCCAAGAAAATAAAAATTATCCCTGATATATCAGATATGAAATGCCAGAAGAATAGATTTTTAGGCATCATTCACTAATAAGGATGGAACTCCTAATATTTTGCTAAGCCTGATTCTCTTGCTAATGGCCGAGGTTTTCAGCAGATGTCTAGGGTGGACAGGAAAATAAAGTAATAGGTAATAGAATTCTTGCTGTCCCTGGACACTTGCCAGGGCAGACACTCTTCCCCCTTGTTCCATAAAAATGAAAGCCTCAATTTTCACTTGGGCATATAGCAGCTTGGAATAGAGACCACATTTCTTAGCCTCTTTGCAGCTAGTTATGTTCGTGTCACTAACTTTTGCACATTAAGAGCCAAGTGAAAATGATTTGCGACTTCTAGGGAGTGTACTTAAAGTAGAGACGGGTACTTTTTTTCTGGTAGCTAGAATGCAATATAATAACTGACACTCCAACTGCCATCTTGGACATAAATTGGAGGCCACTATTACGGAGAAACAAAGAGAGGAGCAGGGTCCATGATACTTTAGAATACCAACACAGCCTTGAGTGACACCAGCTGGACTTCTTGAATATGAGACTGAAAAGAATTTCTATTTGATTTCAGCTACTGTCATTTTGGTGTTTTCTTTTCTTTTTCTTTTTTTTAACCAACCTAATTCAAAAAGAAACTTGATCATTTGAAATTTGTTCACTTTTCTGAAAAAGATGCACTTGTGGGATTTGCTTGGTTATCAAATTGGAATTTAACCTTAGGTGAAATATTCTAAGAATTTCCCAGGAGACCATATTATTTACCTAATTAAAATGAATTTTCTAAAACAGTCTTAGGTTAAGTCTAACAATTAATAGCGCCAGGTAATGAAAATTAAACTAAAATATAAAATGGAATATCAGTCTTTAATTCCCACTCATTTACCAACTGATTAGTCCAAACAACCACATTTTTCTGAATCTGGATTTCATGATGGGCTAAATAATATCTAGGCCCAATAGCAGATGTAAAGCTTGTGGTCTAAAGCAATCCTGCTGCATTATTTATCACCAAACATCATTAAAATATAGTTAGTCCAAGAAAAAGACTATTATCCTGACAAGATCCTAAGTTCATACTGTTCTTCTTTCATTACTATGCAAGTCTCACATACATAGATTTACATCATTTCTTATAAACTCAGTGAGGAAGATAGAAGTACTATATAAATTTGGAACAGAGAGGGTAAAGATTTTTGGCTCCAAAGCTATGTGAAACAGAGAAAAAATGTTACATAGTAATCACTCTTTATCGTGCTACAGCTGAGAACCCGAAGCTTCTCAGCAAAAGGAAATATTGGAAAAGAATGAAAGTTAATGCAGTGTGAGGTAAGGAATTCTTAAATCTTTAACATGCATTACTCTTATTTAACTAGGTTTATTTAACAGTAAGTGACCTGAGAAAGCTTGCTTAAGTAAATATTACAAAAGCAGTTACTTCCTCAAGAAGTGAAGTAGTCTGTTTCAAAA